AATTAACTCAGTTTCATCAGATATGACCTCATAGCCTTTCTGTATTCATCCCCTAAGATTGAATGTTTCTCATTCCCTTAGCTAGGCAGTTGGAGTGTTAGTGGTTAACATGGCTTCTACTTGCCCCACAGCAACATCTTCTTGGCCACACTGGCAGTTCCCCCTAGTGAAAAGCATTCAACTATGCATTTAAAATTCCTTGTAGTAGTTTTCCCTTTAATTACGAGAATGGCTTCATTACTGGTATCTTTGCTACCATTCATTTTTCATTTTTCTCCCATTTATTATTGATTCAGGTGAGCTGCAAAATTTCTGCTAATCTAGTTACTTACAGTATTTGAAATGTACCACAGAATTTTATTGTGTATAATTAATGCTAACATAAGCTTCCAAAGGATCATCTAGAAGTTTTTTTTACCCAGTAATTAGCTATTCAAGCACATGATTATAAGATGTTCCAATCTATTGTGGATTACTACCCATTTTAAGGAGAAACCCTAATTAAAATTATTCACTTTCAATGGGTAGTTTAGTTCTGAGAATGTCCAGATGTCATTTGGCATAACTTTTTAATATACTTTATTGTAAGGGGACTCTAAATAGCAGGCTACTTTCCTTATTTGATTGAGACTAACTTCTAGAGAGGAACTTACCTATTTAAGCAGAGGCAGATATTTGAAATATCAAGATATCATGAAATATCTTGCTATAGCCATCCAGGCTAACAAAACCATCTTTTTCTTTTTTAAAAAATAATTTTTTTCTTATTAAAATATGCAAATATTTATAGCTAGGCATGGTGGTACAAGCCTGCAATTGCAGCTAATTGGGAGGCTGAGGCAGGAGAATCCCAAATGCAAGGCCAGGCTGGGAAATTTAGTGAGACCCTATCTCAAAGTAAATTTTAAAAAAACACTCACATGGGGCTGGGGCTGTAGCTCAATGATAGAGTGCCTGCCTCACACATATGAGGCACTGGGTTTGATCCTCAGCACCACATAAAAATAAATAAATAAAGATATAACAACAACAACAAAAAATTACTCAGTTGTACAGTGCTTGCCTAGCATATGTGAAGCCCTGGGTTTGATCCCTACTGCCACAAGAAGGAAAAAAAAATTAAAAAAAGAAGCAAGTATTTATTATACATGATTTTTTTTTTTTTTAAATACGAAGAAAATCAGTGGGATCCTACTACATACACAATTCTATGTCTTGTGCTTTCACAAAACACTATGAGCATTTTTCTGAGCATTACACATCCTTTATAACCATATGTACCATAATAATTTTGTTGAGTTGTTTAAGCCATTTCTCATATTTTGCTATTATAAATTCCATGATAATAAACATTTTCATAAAGGGGAGACACAGCAACTTCAGTGGAGCTCAAAGGAGATACCCAAGTTACAACTCTGTGTGCTCAGGTTTCAGAAAGCCTGAGGGCAAGAAGTGGCCTCTATACAATTCCCCTCAATGTGCTATTCACAGAGCCCATTTCCTATCCCCTCTTATCTGTCCAGGAGTTCTCAAGTCAGGAACTGGGTCAGGATTACTCAGAGCAGTATTCAATTAAGATTGGATGGTGCTGAGATAAAAAACAAAATGTGTAAATTTTCCCTTCCTGTTATAAAGCTTAGAATTTAAATGCTCTTACCTTGGGAGAAGGATCTTTTAATGCAAGTGTCATTAAGGACACAGATTGTGGGCTTCCAAGCTCAGGCGTATCAGGAACAAAGGCCGACCAGTAGCCATACAGAACTTTTTTTTCTATTGATTTTATAGTAGAAAGAAAACAAGCTAATGCTCCTTGGCGAACTTTGGCTTGGTATGACCTTTCATATCCAAAATAAGGAAGAAAAGTTTTTAAACAGCTTTTTAAAAATGCAACATGAAATGCTATTTATTCTAGACAATTAAAATCATACATTGAGAAATTAAACCTAAAATAACCCCTAAAGATGTTGCCATGATATTAAAAATTTTTTAAAGATATGATCAATACATGTTAAGACAATTTGCTTATCTAATAAGGTATTAAGGCTGACAAAAACCACAACTCGATAGAATATAAGAGGGCAACATTTTGATGTTAGGAAACTAGTATTAGACATGAAACACTGCAGAATATCTATCCACCCATTCAACAAATATCCCATGAATGACCCCATGTAGGAATCAGACATTATGCTGGGTTGGAGGACAAATGAAGCCCCTGCCCATGCTAAGTGGAGGTGATTGATGGAAAGCTCAAGAAATAATAACACATTTGAAATACACTAGGGCAGAGGTTAAGCCAAAGGGTCACACAGAAGGGGCTCTTAAACCAGAATGGGAGGGATTGAACAAGTTTTCCCAGAGAATATGATTTTTGAGCTTATTTTGAAGAAGAGTAGTTGTTAAAAATACAAAATGGCCAAAACAACAACAATAACAACAAACCCCACCAAGAACAACAGCAACAAAAAGAAAGAGAGAAAAGACTATAACAGGGAAAGGAACATACAAGGACAGATCAAGTGAGCAAAGCAAGTTCAGAGTAATGCAAAGCTCCACATAAATGAGAATTCTCAAGTTTCAATCCAGGTAGCAGTCAGGTTTTTAAGCAAAGCTATAAACTGACATGCAACTTAGGATATTAAAGTATAAAAATATAACAAAATACTACTACCTCATTTTACCCTGTAAGCCTCCTTCAGCATCAGAATAGTCTGACTCACTACTGCTGACTCTTTTCCAGCTGCAAGTGGTGAAGGGTGAGGAGACCCGCTCTTTTCCCAGAGTTCCACTTCCATCTACTGGCAAACCTTGGACGCCCAGGGAGGAGGAGCATCGAGTGTTCCTGTCATGCATGTTCACTCTGCTTGTGCCAGGGCCTGGGACTGCTTCCATCTCACTACTAGATTCTTCTTCCTCTTCCTCTCCTTGTGGGGTTTTCTTTGGCTTAATTTTGTATTTTTTCTTTTTATTCTGATTTTAGGAGCAAATGAAGACATACATATGATAATTATTTATAAATGACTTTTAACAAAATCACTGGTACTTCCTCATTTGAAAATGACTAAATATGTTCCCAACACATAGTTTAAAGAAACAAGAACTAAGAGAAGAAAAGAAAAAAGTAACACTTACTTAGTATCTATGCATCAGACACAATGCTGAGTACTCACACACACCATCCTGGACTTAAGAAATAAGGCATGAAGTCCATGGGTCACAGCAAAACATGTGGTTTGGGTTCAAATTCTACCTCTGTAACTCTGGGCAAAGCACTTAGCTTCTCTGAGCTTGACCTTCCTGATCTGTAAGTATGAGGCACCTACCTTGAACAGCATAGTGAAAGTGTTCAGCCTTCTCAATAGAGATTAAAGCCTATGGAAATGATGCTAGTGCCTATTTTCTCAGCTCTCCCAATTAAGATATGCAAGATGGTAATCCATTACATACACTGCTGGTACTAGGGCCCTGGGGCTACACAGAAGAAGATGCTAAATAAAAGCCAGTTTCTTTTTCCCTACTTTCTTCTTTCTGACATCTAAATATCTTTGAAACTTGTGCCTTCTTTCAAATTCTCAAAAGTCCTTATCTTTCAAAGTCCTTATCTGTAAGAGGGAAGGTTCTTATCATTTCTACCTCAGACTACTGGCTGTGGCCCAGACCCATACTCTTTTATTTACTACCATGGTGGTTCTCTTAAGATGCAAATTCAATCACATCATTCTGCTATTTAAGATTTTTTCCTCACCTACAAGATAAAAACCCAAATTCTTAGCATACTATACAAGACCCTTAGGATTTGCCTTTGCTGCACATTTATTTGCCCTCCCCTTTCCCTTCATGAACCCGAATCTCTACCCTACAGTTAACATATGAGCTATGCACACTCATTCCCTTATGTACCTTTGTTCCCTCAGAACATTCTTTCCTCTCTCTGTACTGTTATTCACTCCTGAATCTTAGTTTAGTCACTACAGCTTTTAAAAGATTCTTCCTCCTCTATTTGGACGGGGTATCCTGCATGTGTTTTGAATACTCTGCGAATATTTTGATGAAAGAAATCCTAATATTACTATGAAGTTTATATATGCATCTTTGCTTCCCCCTCCAAACTCCTAAGAATAGCCAGTGTTGGTATATTTCACAATGGTATATTAGCACAATGTCTGGTGTTTGGTCAATGCTGAATAGGTGAATGAATGAAAGAATTCTTAATCTTAAGCTTTTTTTTTTTTTTTTAATCAGGTATTACATTTTGGATGTAAAATCTTGGCCACATATCTGTATGCTATAGGTTCTCCAACAGAAACATGAAGGAGACAGCAGCTATCAGGGAAGGCTGAGAAATGTGGTAAATGTCAGAAGTGTAGAGACATTGTGCGGACCGGTAGGTGGTCTTCTAATGGTCTACAGAAGGGCTACCAATTTATGGCCCATTGTCTGTTTCTGTGAATATAGTTTTACTGGAACAGCCATGCCCTTCCATTTACACAGGGCATCTCTGGCTGCTTTTGCACTATGACCATGAAGTGGGTAGTTGCAACAAAGAGCTAAAATATTTACCAGTCAAGTCCTTAACAGAAAAAAATTTGTTGATCCTTGGTTTTGAGAAGTCTGGGGATGAGAATGCTTGATTTTGTATATAAAGTGAATGCTTATTTTTGTAAGGTGTTACACTGTCTGGACCGCTTAGAGCATAAGGTGCTTTAAATTGTACTTTCAATAGTCTGATAAATTTAAATTTACTTTGCTAAGTACCTTAAATTGAAATCAAGTTCAAGGTGGGCTTTTGAGGCAGTGGCAATGCAAATCATAGAAAATACACAAAGCAAACTATTCAAAACAATCTGCAACTTAAATTCAAATAGACATAAATGTACCACCGTTGGTCGAGAAGCAGTGGATTCTGACTGTTGTGGTTTGACAGGTGGTCGCCCATCATACTGAGGAAGTGGAGTGGGGTATAACACCGTGGGCATCTCTATGTTTAGTCCAGGAAGTCCATGAAACATGGCTTTCTAAAAAGTGATGAATAAGGAAAACACACACATAAATATAAATCTTACAGCAGAATTATGCAGCATGCTCTGGATCAGGACACAAACAGATTAAGATTTAAAGACTATTAAGTAATAAAAATGGGACAGAACTTTGACACCTTGAAAGTTTAAGGCTTAAAGAAGAGCTTAATCTCATCTATCCTAAAGCTGGATCTGGTTTGGCCACATCAGATTAGGTTTGATTTTTAGCATAACTTTATTTAATTATTTAATCCCATCATCTTATCCAGTTATTTTATCTATCCACTAATTTTTAAACTAATTTATCATTTTTATTTAGTCATCTGTCTCTAAATCTAGCTGTCTGTCTCTATTTGAGGGTAAAAGAAATGGCACATGGGAAAAGTTAAAATTTTAGTTTTAATAAAGCTATATTGTCACAGATAGCAATGACTTCAGGTGAGCACAAAAGCTCCTTTTTTTTTTTGTCTCGGCTGAGATAGCTGGATCCCCAGAGTGGTGAGTTCATGTCCTCCTGCTTGGCAGGTTTGGAAGCTAGTGACAGCAGTGTGCTGACACATGTCTTAATTAACCTGCCTTCTACATGACAGAGGATGCCAGCAGAAGCCCTGGCTCTTTTCTCAAGTACAATAAGGTAAAAGCTGGTTCAAGATAAGCTGTGATTAAATTATCTTCAGATTTAATCTCACAACTTGTTCCTTCCTAAGATTCAAAGATAATTTTTAAATTTTGGTATATTTATTTAAAAGAGGCTATTATCTATTCTTAATATTAACTATGCTTATATATATGAACATTGTATTCTGCTCTCTTAGAATATATGAGAACTTTTGATACCTTCAAAGTTAGCCTTTGAATGATGATATGAAACGGTACTCACATCTGGGGTTTAAATGGGAAAAACACGAATCATAATGAAGAAGTGCCTTACCTTTAGTACAGCTAGAAGAGCTCCAAGTTCATCAGTCTGTGTTAGTTTCATTTTTCCACCATTTAGAAGTGACTGAATGCCTTTTAATGCATTTTGTAACAACTAGGGGGACAAAGAGAGACTTAGTTAGAAGGCAGAATAAATTTTGGTTGTCCAGGGATCTACTCTTCAGCATCACTTAAGATGGAAGAGGAAAATTCTCTAGATGATGAAAAAACCATTTGAAACACACAAAGCAGAGGTTAAGATCCAGAAAAATGACCTGATAAATCACTTTGAGTTATTTTCTAGAAGAGTACTCTTGAGAAGTCTTATACTACAGACTTATAAACCAGCATATATAAATAGTGGACAAGGAAAATAAAAAGGAAGAGATTTAGTGGGAAGACTGTGATAAGAAATGAAAAAGTAATAGTAGAGATCAAAAGCAGGGAAGTTCTCCAATATGGCAACCTCAGTAGCTCTTAAAGTCAAAGGTGTAAATGTAGAAGCAGATGGTAAATGATAAAAATGTAATCTCTAAAGGCAAATTCTGGATCAAGATTGATTTCTTGATTCAGTAATCTCACTTCTAGGACTCCATCCTTACTCCCTATAGGGGAGGATGTGAACTGTAGCCCTGTTTGAAATAGTGGAAAAACTTTTAAAAAGCAATTTTTATCCAATTTGATGATCATGAGAATGATTACCTAAGAAGCTAACCTCCTAAATGTGAAACTCAGCAACAACAGTTGCAGGTACTGTGTCAAGCACTTTAAAAGCTCTATTTTTATTTATATTTTACATGAACCCTACAATGTAGTTACATTAGTACCATTTCAGCAAGGAACATGTAGGCTCTAACCAGTTAAGTAATTTGCCCAAGATCTCCTAGCTACAGAAATAAGAAAGCATGAAGTACATTAAGAGGTACTGAAAAAACGTACCACAGATATTAAGATTAAAAAAAAAATACAGAAAGTTTCAAAACAGCATATTAAACATGATTCTATTTTAAAAAGATAAACATACTCATTCACATAGAGAAAAAAAATCTAAAAGCACAGATCATCTCCAGTGATTATATCTGAGTAGGGGACTATAAGAAACTTTTACTATCCTGGATCTGTAATGTATGAATATGTCAACCTGAATTTAAAACATGTTAAGAAACTACCATATTTGCATATAATTCTTTTAAGAAGAAATAAAATAGTACAGATATTATTGAAGTCTACTTTCTTCCCTTTCATCTTAAACATCAGGTATTAGTCTGAAACTAGACTGTTTTTATACTCAGGAGGAAAAAGAATGAGAAGAGCTTTCTTTTAAAACCTAAAATGCCAAACAAAACAAATAAAAAAGGTTTCTTGTAATTTAAACCCAAAGATATGGTTCAGTCTTTTTGGCTTACAAACGTTCTATGTAGATATATATATACATATATATAGACAAAACTAACATAGCAGCCAAAATTAAACTTGTTGGTAACAGCCTCAGTTCAACTCTTGCTTCTAGACATATCTACATCAATTTGTAAGATCAGCAATAGTCCTACCTACCATGCAAAATGTTATGTCATCCATATCTGATGATTTTGGAGACTGTAAAGTGGTCAAGAAAGCTTGGAAGCAAATATTTTGGTAGGGCTCCTCCAGGTATGGCTGTCCTGGCACACTAAAACACATATAGAGAAAACAACTCAGGCTGTGTCCTTTGAAATGGTGCCTTCAAAAGAATAATAGCAGTAATAAAAACTAATAGAGTTGTAATACACCCCTGAATGTGACTATACTTAGAAAAACTGTGCACTTTGGCGGTTAGTTACTGCTGTAGCACAGGCACAGTCTCCAGTAAATATAAAGAAGGATGAATGGTTTCCATAGGGAAAAATTACAGAAATTTGTAGTGGAAGAAGTATGGACAAAGAGAAATTTTGAGTTCTGCTTTTCATTTCTAAGAGAAAAATAATGTAAAGAGGTTCTGTAGAGTTAGAATCACATGATTGAACCTGTATTTTTAGCCACCATACACCACTGTGCTACCTAGATACAAATTCAAGTTTGTGCTGTTCATTTTCTACTGCATATTGTAGACTAATTACATCTTCTTAAGAGAGAAGAAACCAACCTTGACAGATAAATCTCACCAGAGCTTAAACTGGTACGACTATACCCTTCTAAAAGACAATATGACTAGAATTCATACCAATAGAAAACAAAACATTGACTATCACTTTTAGCATATATATTTTTTCTTCATTATGAACTTTATTTGATTAAAATCACATCATATAATGACCTTATTAAATAACCTGGGAAATGCAAATTGAGATATTTTTTCTAAGTTGCTCTTGTTTCAGACAGATGAAACAATCTATAAAAGGGCCCGAGAGATACTATCTTCTAACTACTGGGAAAACTGCCTGTATCCACATACCTGAGACATAAGTTTGCCATGCAATGCACTGCAGCTCTCCTGACTTCAGGGTCAGACTGAGCCAAGTCACTCAATGTTGTTAAGAGGCCGGTCTTGCCTAGCAAGTCTGGAAGGTACTACAATAAAATAACAGTCAATGTTGGTTTAGGAAAAGCTTCCAGGAAAATATTACAATTTAGACAGATTTTATTTTTTTAACTAAAGGGCAGTTAAATGTCAAAAGACTAGCTATTAAAAAAAAAAAAAAGACTAGCTGTTAGGTAAATCTTTCAGATGGGTGTAGTAAATATGCCAAAAAATGGCAGAAGGATCATTACTAGGTAGTTGCTAAAGCTTTTTAGACACGGCTGTGCAGATGATGGGTAATGATAATAATGATAGTTAACAGTTAAGAGTGCCAAGTATTTACAAGGCTAAGATTGTAAATCAAAGCTACATGTCCAATTAATGGCAGGATAAAAACCTAAAGATAGGTCTGTTGACTCCAAAGCCTCTGCTCCTCATCTTTCAAAAAAAAAAAAAAAAAAATCAGGACACAGTTAAAATTACCTTTTGACATTTTGAGCCATTACAGTAAACCAGAGCTGCCAGGGCTTGAAGGATTTCCATGTGTGTCCAGGAACTACACTGATGAATAGCTGAAATAGTATATCCCATCAGGAAATCCAAGTTCTGTTCATCAACAATCACCTACCGAGAGAGGAAAAAATACAGATGATCTAACTTCTTAAAAATGTTTTTGTCTTTTTAGAGATTATCTATGCTCACCTGAATCAAGTTGTGCAAGGAGTATATATCCACCTTTTTGGGGTCGAAAGGATCACCTCTAAATCTTTGAAAGTTTGATCAGGTTAGAGGCCTTTGACATGTCCCAGGGTCTCGTTCACTTCTCCCTTTAGTCCCTCCACTCAAAGTAAAACCTTGTAACTTTCCCTTGAACTAACTATACACTGATAGCTGTAAATATTAACCGACAGGACTTAAAACACTGAATTGTCTTAATTCAATTAAACTACCTTATATATAATAATCACTCAATATATGGTGAATAAATATGCCTGCTAACTACCTACTGTGTTGCTAGCATGGTGTAGGGAATACAATGAGAAATGGCACATCTCTGTCCCCCCTTATTTTATAATCTTCTTGGCAAAGATCAGGCTAATCCAACTATCAATTTATGGACATGACAGGACAAATAGTCATCAAATGCCAGAAAGCTGGTTATGGACTATAGGTGTCACAAGTACACCCCTGAGACTAGTCAATATTTGGAAGCCACCTCCCATCAGTTTGAAACATTCTAAACTTGAAAACAGCCTATCTCATGTAGTAGAAACTGTTGGCTACCTATCGGCATCCATGTTCTCCTTCCCTCATGGCAGAGTTCTGATTCTACTCAAATGCCCATTTCTCTCACATAAAACCTCTAGCAAATCCTAATTAGTTTAGTAGTTCTCAACCAGAGGCAATCTTGACCACCAGGGAACATCTGGCACAATGTTTGTAGACATATTTGATTGTTACAATTAAAAAGGTGCTATTGACATCAAATGAGTAGACGTGATGATTGCTGCTAAACATATCCTACAATGCACAGGACAGCTTCCATAATAGAGAATTATTTAATTCAAAACATCAATAGTTTAAAAAAAAAAAATCAATAGTGTCGAGGGTCAGAAACCCTGAAGTAAGTCCACTGTGGCTGCATAGTGTAATCATTTAGGAAGCTTACGCCCTCTAGGTGATGCTAATGTGCAGTCAAGGTTGAAATCATTGTTTTAAGCACTCATGGTAATTCCATTCCCTTTTTCAGAGACTGGTTTAGAGAGATGTTTATATGACTTAAGTCTCCAATGAGATATCAGGAGAGTCTACTGGAGAATTTATGGGACAAATTTCCTCATTTGTAAATAAAAGAGACACAAAATTAACAGGGATAATCTGGTTTCTGTGGAATGTTATTTAGTTATTTTGCATAGGATGCCTAGAATGGAGGCAGCCATCTTATGACTATCAGAGAGGCTGAGTATAACACACACTAAGGACTGCAGAATGGAAAAATGCTAGTAAATCTCTTATTAATAAGGGACTCTAGAGCTGCTTCCTTTGGGACTTGAAGTGTGGCATTAATTGTTTCTTCTTTTTTATTGTTTTGGTACTTAGGATTGACTTTTCTGTTTTTTGAACCCAAAGCATCCTAGTAGACATATGCTAATTGATAACGCTTTTCACTCTCAATTACATTCATGTACTCATGTGTAACAGTCTTAATCCTAAAAATCAAAGTGGGTTTATCTAGCAAGTTGGAAAAGGTTCTAGAAATAGGTAGGGAGCTGCAGTTTAGATCTTGATATAAATAACTGGTGTCTTTTTATCCTGGTGTACCCTCTTCCCCAAGCTACTTCTTAGGTTTTATGTACATAAAAAATAAATTAAAAAAATGATAGTTTGAGGAAAGAGAAAAAATATTGGTAGGAAAGAATTCTGGGATCATTTCAATCCTGAGATGTATCTTGGTCAACCGTACATACCACGAAAAAAAAAAAAAAGTCTAAGGTCAGGAGGCCTGGTTGACACAGTGGTTACTGAATCAACAGGAATACTTCTAATATGCTTCTAATAGACAAACTTCTAGAATTGTGCAGAATAATGTTCTTCTGGTCAGAGTTATGTTTGTTTTAGTATCATTTTCATTTTTTTGGTACTGGGTATTGAAACCAGGGGTGCTTTCCACTAAGCTACATCCCCGATGTTTTTACTTTTACTTTTTTTTTTTTTTTAGGTGGTGCTGGGAATTGAACCCAGGGCCTTGTGCATGTGAGGCAAGCACTCACTCTACTAACTAAGCTATATTCCCAGTCCCCAGTATTTTTACTTTTTATTTTAAGATAGGGTATCATTAAGTTGCTGAGGATCTCCCTAAGTAGCTGGAGCTGGCCTCAAACTGGTGATCCTCCTGCCTTAGCCTCCCAAGTTGCAGGGATAACAGATGTGCACCACCATGCCTCGCTTGTTTTAATATCATACTGAGGCATTTGCTTTTCCTAGTGTCTCAAAAGATTAGTTTATCATACCTACTATGGATATAGTATTTCAAAAGCATTTGCTTATTCTCAAAGTTCATGATCTGAATCCTAAAGTTACATACATGATTACCTGTAATCTGTTTAGTAAATGGTGGATCAGCTGAGACACTTTGCTGACAAGATGATTCTGATTAAGAGGCACCAGTCGGCAAGCTTGGACAAGAAGAGCACTGACATCCTACCAAGAAAAAAACAATCAAACAAAAAAACCACACAAAGGTAACATTCCCATTAATCAAGTGAAAGCCACCCCCATCCCCGCACCAAACACAGGAAAATGGGAGAATTAAACTGAATGTTCATACTGAAGAATGGGAAAAGATGACATCTGAATGAAATGTGAGGCAGAAAAAGATGAAATAACAGCACAAAAATAGGGTGTGCTAAAAAAGAAAAAAGTATAAATATCATTTTTGTCAAACTAAAGACTCCAGAGTCTCTACCATGTATAGACAATAGAATTAAATAACCAAAGAAAGGCTTCCAGCATATAAAAGCACATAATGAAGTTAAATATATCAAAAAATGAAGCCAACTAGATTTTCAATGTCATTAGGAAAATTGGAAACGACACATAAATTTTACGTAAAATTGGGGAATTATTAAAAAAAGAAGAAACTATTTGCAAATCATATCATTCTTTATTGGTGTTTACTGAATATAAAGGCTCTGAGCACCTACTATGTGCCAGGTAGTAGGCTAGGTCCTTGGGCTCCAAAAGTGAAGCAAACATTTTTCTGAACCTCAAAGAGCTCAGAGTCTAGTGAGGGAGACAGAAAATACACAAATAATTAAATTAAGTGCTGAAAGAATTAAGTACAAACATTGTGGGAAAATAGTGATTATTCAGTATTGTGTACAGTTATATAGAATCTGGAATGAATTGAAGGATGAATAGAATTTTTGCAAACAGATCAGCTATCAAAAACACACTTCAAGAAAAAAAAAATGGAACTGTGTAAAGACTTGGGAGACGCAAAACACCAGCAGCAAGAATAGTACCTTTGAAATGCAGACAAGACACAGAAGGAGGAGTGATAGGAGAGAAAACTGGAAAAGCACATATTTTTGCAAAAATATCAAAGCATACAAATAAATCAAAAGTCTTCCTGACTTCTTCTTAATCCCACTCACACTATTATCTTGCTGTGAACACTTCTGGATTTTTTCTGCATATATAAACATATGCATATTTTAAAATTCTTCTCCTTTCTTGAACCCCATATTGACTTGCATACATTGTTGGGCAATTTTGCTTCAACCATTTACCATATGTATAGATATTCCCAGATCAGGTTTTCATTTTTATAGGCAGTTTTTTTTTTTTTTTAAACCAAAGGAAAAAATCACTCTGGCAGCACAGCAAAAGGGTTGGACCAGAGGAAGGCATTCAGTTTAGAAGAAGACCAGTGCAATAGTCCAAGCTAGAGTCATCTTGCCAAAGGCACTAGCAATGGGAACAAAGAGAATGGTATGGACTGAGAAACATGTTTGAAAGAGATTCTGAAGAATCTGGATTGGACAGGCTCCAAGTCAAAGGAAAGGGAAAAGAACAAGGGTTTGTGTTTTGCATGTCCTGGAGGATGGGATGGATTGGGGATGAAAGTGTGTAGAGGTAACATTCATTTTTAAAAACTGTCAAGCTTGAGTTGCCTGTGAGCATGAGAAGGCTGTGGCTCAAGTGTTTAGAAAATTATTAAGTGATATCCAAGACTTGGTGTGTATAAAAAAGATTTCTCGGATAGCGAAAAGAACTTCTAAAGAGGAGGCAGAGGGGGTAGAGGAAGAACGGAAAATACAGGGACTTTGTTACAGACTGAGGCTCCACTTCTAGCTGTTGTTTGCCAACAACGTGATAATGGATCTTTGTGAACTTCAATGTTTCCATCGGCAAAAAAAAAAAAAAAAAAAAACCGACCTAATAATTATGCACACTTTAAGATTCCTGGAATGGTTCATGGTAAAGTACACATTAAATAAACAGTAGTTATGAATTTAATTGACAAAAGCGTTTGGGATGCATAGAATGAAAGTGGAGCGTGAGAATGGAAAGGTGGTGCCAGATGCGAGGTGTTAGAGCAGAAATCATCAAACTGGGCTTTGAAAGACGAGAGTTTGCCAACCACTGCAGAATCTTTCAGACGGAGGACAGCAGAGAATATGCCAGGATCGGAGGGAGCAAGCCAGCCTGGATTTAAGTCATCGGGGCGCTGGGTGAGAACAGCCAGGAGAGGCAGGCTGGAGTTACCAGCTGGGTTCCCTGAGGGTGGGGCCGTGGCAACAGCGCGGCTCCCGGTCTCCCACAGGCGAGGCGCCTACCTCTGCGGCCACGCCGCCGCCCTCGCTGTAGTTCTCGGAAATGAGCTGGTCAAAGAGCAGGTGGATCTCGGTGCGGGCGGAGCTGCTGTCATCCGGGCGCAGGGCGCGGAGCCTGGCCGACAACCGGCGGAACCCATTGTCCTGCTCAGGGGGCGGCTCCCGCGGAGCCTCTCGTAGCTGCCCGCACGACGGCGAGCCGGCAACTTGCACCGCCGCCATCTTCCCTATGTAAGGCCCCTGGAAAATACTTCCGGGGCATTCCCGGGTTCTGCAATCTAGTTCCGGAATGCCTAATATGGACCAGAAAGGCAGGCCAACGAAGAGGTTTCCATGACTGCTGTACCCTTCAGCCGGGTACCCTGCAGGTGCTCTCTGAAATCAGCTTAAAAATATTTCGCCCGCCCACCTCTTCTGAGCGCAGGCTGAAAAGTGGAGTCTCTATTTGTCCTCTCAGAAAGTTTGTTTTTGGGCAGGGCTGACAGTCCTGTTGAGTACTAGAGTTTCAGATTAGGGCTGCAGTTGGAGAAGGGTTGCAGTAAATGGCAGTGGCGGAAACTGCTGGTTCTCAGAAGTCCTTCTACTCCTCTTACAGCGTGTTAGAACCCCTGATTTTTCCCCAAGCACAAATGCACCCTGACTAAAGATTACATTACCCAGTATTCCTTGCAATTGATTCCATCTATGTGATTAAAATCTGGCCAATAAAATATAGGGCAGCTTTCCAGTACTTTGGTGACAGCTGACTGTTTCTTTGTTCCCTTTGCTTCTCTTCTGACAGTGAGTGTTCTTAGAGCCACCTCTCACCACTAGGAAAGTAATTTTGAAGTTTAAATTGAACTATAGAAAATATAACCTGCCTGGGGGTGACCTAGTTGGCATTGGAGACCCCAAGATTTTCTGAAAGCTTGAAGGCGAGAATGGGAAGTAAAATAGCCATTTAAACAATGATCAGTTTTCAGTCACCCAGGAGGTGAAGACTGGACATTCACATTTGGGTAGACTGAGAAAAGCATCTTTAGGACTTTTGAGTTCTACAAATCTTCACCTCTGGCTCCTGGAAAAATCTTGAAGTCATCTGAATATACATATTTTATCCTCAGAATAAAACACTGGTCATCATTGAAAATTGTGAATGTGCTTTTTAGCAGAGCTAGTTCTTTGAAGAATTTGAGCTTCTTTGGGGAAAAATGTTTATTTTTTTGTTTGGATTTAGATTCCATTATGCTTGTATATTATTGTTCATTCTTGGAATAAGTGTACATAAGTGTTATATATGTGCATGTATGCATGTGTATTTGTGATACTGTTCAAGCATTTTCTCAGAGACGATCAAAAGCTGAAACTAGTCTCTAGATGTTTTAGTTGGGACTCCCTCAAAATAGAGCCTCAGACAAGATTGGTATGTGAGTCATCTATTCAGGAATAAACAGGGAAGGAAGGAGAATCAATACAAATATATGCTATTGAGTTGGGCATTGCAAGAAGTTTCTTATCACTCAATCCTTGGAGTTTTTTGTTTTTAGTTGTAGATGGACACAATATCTTATTTATTTATATGTGGTGCTGAGAATTGAACCCAGGGTCTCACACCTTCGAGGCAAGTGCTCTACCACTGAGCTACAGCCCCAGCCCAATCCTCTGGAATTTCTGAGAAATCTTATGGAATGCTCTCAGAACTCCCTCCTGAGGAATGGAGGACAGAAGCATATATCTGCCAGCTTTTGACCTCTATTGTCAATTATCACCTGGCTAGGCATTAGCTCTGTAGTTAACATGCATCGATGTGCAATGTTTCCTAGAGGAGTCTCCTGTTGCGTAGTTAAAGCAGCCCTGAGGCAAAACTGAGATGGTTTGGGATATAGAGTATATGTTTGAGGCAAGGTTCTGACAAGTTATATTTGACAACCACTACTAAATAGTTTACTGAGGTAAACCATTGCTGTAAGTATGGTTCTAAGCGTTTAAGACCAAAAGTATTTGAAGTAGTGCTTAAGAGATGTTCAACACCCTAGGATAGAAGGATGTAAGGCCTGGTCCTTACCATACTGGAGTTGGTGTGAAGAGACTGGGAATAATCTGGGTTTAGAGGGGTTTGTAGTAGGCTACAACATAGATTACCCATATATAGTGTTATTTAATATTGAATGACCCAGATATTGTAAAGTATACCAATGTCAATCTGTTGAGTCATGATAGATTATATCCTTGTGGATAGAAATAAATATTCCTATTTCATGGTGATCAGCAACTGAAGGAAAAATTTATCAAGCTCTCAGGGAAACTTTTGAAAGCCCATTTCATTGACTTGAGGTTAGACAGTAGCACCCCAACACCCACCTCCAACTCTGAGACTATGAAAACTAACAGTCTCTCCCAAGAAAATTTCCTCACACATCTTTGATCCTTGGTACTCTCAACATTTAAATAGTCTTAGAGTGATTGCGGAGCTGTAAGGAGTGTTAAACAAGTTTATAGCCATTTCCCTTTTAACTTCTTCATTGGCTGATCTGGAACCTTATTCTGGAATTGCATTTCTTTCACATTTGCAACGTAAATCAAGCTTGCATACCCCCACTCTAGTTCACATCCTTGTATATTTTTTATTTATGATAATCTGTAGTTATTGTTTTTGTTTGTTTGTTTATTTACATGTTATCTGTTTCCTCTTCTAGAATGTGAGTTTCATGAAGGCACAAATCTTGTCTGTGTCATTGACCATTGTATATTCAGTGCTAGCAAGCACATGGATGCAGTAGGCATACACCTATACTTGTTGATAAAATGAGTAAATTCACTGTTTTAATTGTTTATCCAGGGCCCTCTAGTTTTCATCTATTGGGTGATGGCACTTTTTATGAAAATGCTTTGTAAAGTATGAATTTTTATAAATTTTGCATTCAAATGATGAGATATTATTATTTTCTCTCTTTATAGTGAATGAAATAATGCTAGAAAGCTTAAATAGTTTGTCAAGTTCCACATTAACAGCATTGGTCAAAATCAGACTTTAACCTAGGCCAGCTAAGTCTTAGGTCTGTGATTATGAAGAACATAAACAAGAAATTATTAGACATTTTTACCTCCCATATTTTTTGTAATGGGGGGAAAAACAGAAATGAGGGGCTGACTTTCAATATCCAGATTAAAACTAGAAACTAGAGACTGGGAAGGAGAATTGGCCTTGTGTCTTGTTCTAGATTCTTGTAAAATTAAGGGTCAACAGCCCATCTATTTGGTAAAAACAATAATAGTAATAGTAGTAAACATTTATTGAATATAGTTATCTCTTGGAGTTCATGATTCATTGGTTCTAGGACTCCCCTGAGGATATCAAAATCTGAGAAGGCTCAAGTCCCTTATATAAAATGGCATAGTATTTGCATATCACCTGCAGACATCTTACCATGTAGTTAAGTCATTTCTGGATTACTCATAATATCTATTGCAATGTAAATGTCATGTAAATAGTTGTTATACTATATTGTTTAAAGAATAATGAGAAAAAAAAAGGTCTGCACATTTGGTGGCAGGCACAATTTTTTTTTGTTCCACATATTTTCATCCTGCAGCTGGTTGAATCTATGGATTCAGAACCTGTTTGGATATGGGGAACCAACTGTTGGGACCACTATGTCAGGCACTATGCCAAGCACTGTACAAGAACTAAACTCTTTGTAGGTCTATGATGTCTATACTATTGTACAAATGAGGAAACTGAAGCACAAAAATGTCAGGATATTTGCTGAAGGCCACACAGCTGCATGTGTGCCTTGGTTTGAAATTCAGAGTAGATGGTTCTAATTACTGTGTTATAATGCCTATCCCTCAGAGTTTGACACAGGATAAAAGTGTAGGCCCCAACACCTATCTTATGAAATTATGTAATTAATTTTATGCAAATTACTAAATTTACCCAAACTCTTTTCTTACTTATGAAATGGTCATGATAAGTATAGTCAAAAGATTGTTGTAAGAATAACTTAGAAGTTGGGCATAGTAGCATATGCTTGTAAGGAGGCTGAGGCAGGAGGATCTCAAGTTCAAAACCAGCCTTAGCAATGGTAATGTGCTAAGCAACTCAGTGAGATCCTGTCTCTAAATAAAATATAAAATAGGGCTGGGGATGTGGCTCAGTGGTTGAGTGCCCCTTAGTTCAATCCCTGGCATTTCCCCCCTCCCCACAAAAAGAATAACTTAGATAATGCTTGCGAAGAATTTAACATATTCCTTGTTGCATTGAAAATATTCAACAAATGTCATGTATCTTCCTCCTCACCTTCCTTATCTTCACTGCCACCTCTCACCAAATAACTCAAGTAGTGTGGATGCTTTTAAAGTGATTATTTATTGAAACAAACACCTCCTCTTCCCTTCCTCCATACTACTTGTAGTCTCCATCCACAGGTCCTGATTTTCATTTCTCTTTCCAGTCAAGAATCTCCAGACAGTCCCATCATTGCAGGCAGAAACTACAGGAAGAGATGAGCAGTTATTAGAGAAGATGGCCCTTAAGATAACTCTTTGAGAAATGGACAAAAAATTTATATGTGAGACCTACTGTTTTGGGGACCTGGATCCACAGAATACAATTCTGAAAATCCATAGCAGCTGCAAGTGGCGAGCAAGGTCCTGAGCATTCCAAGGATTGCAGGTGGATTGGGCAAGTAATATGTTTTGAATACAAATGGTTTGTTTTAAAAATGTATACTGATTCTATTGTGTTTAGTACAACTTAATTTATCATCAAAACTGAATCATGGTGGCTTTTTACTATGCTTTCTTCAATTAATAGCTACTGAAAATAAAGAAACTACCACATGTATTCCTGAAATATCTTTTATAGGAGAGGGATGCTTATAGGTCAACAAGACAATATCTATCAAATGGTCAATAATTATACTTGGTCAATAATTATGCTTCTTAGAATTTACCCCAAGAGAATTAATACAGGCATGTTTAATTTACTATTCATTATAGTCATATTAATATTATAAAAATAAGAGCTATCTTAGAGGTTACCAAGTACATGAGCATATATGATGGGCTTAATGCCAGTAGAGATGATGGAATGGAAGACTCACTTTTAATACTAAAATTTTTCACTAGTGATTTTTAAGTCAAATAATTGAGAAATTGAAATAGGTACAAGATTCTCATTTTAAAATACATATTATATATTTATGTTTAAAATATGCATCATCATGTTAAGCAGACATTTTGGGGGGTTGTGGGATTATGGGTTATTTTTATCTTCTTTTTTTTTCCTAAAAAAAATAGCCTGATTTTTTTTTCCCCAGGATATACCGGGTAAGGAAATTATTTTAAAAGTTTGGAAATCACTATCTTGTGATGGGATACATCTTTTATTGGGGGGTGAAGAGGGAAAGGCTACTAGAAGACAGGCTTCTGTCGCATCCAATTTTGGAAAGTCTAAAAGGGAGCCATGTGTACAACCTGCCTGGGTAGGGCAAGTTTGGGGAAGCAGGATGTTTTTACCTGTGTTTAGTCAGAAGCACAATTATGTCCACACCCGGTGCTGACACAGTGCTCCCCTGGTCCACAGTCCCAGTCACCTCTGCAGAGCTCAGCACAGGCCCCTAAGTTAGAACAGACCAGCTGAAAACCACTGTGCCTGAGGCTTAAGCACTGGGGATGACAGTCCAGGATTAAGGAAGAAGTTCCACTTCTTTCTTTCAATTTAGTATTATAATTTATAAATGATTACTGGCAGACTAATACTCATTAACGTATTGTATATCTCAGTTAAATAACCTCAAAAGGAAAGCCTACCTTAGAGATGGGGAGAAAGTGTTTGTGTTTGTGGAGGGTAAGAGCAAAGAGGCCCCCTGAATGTCCTTACTTCCCCACACTGCAAGGAAGGGGAGACTCACATTTACTGACTATCTTCAAGGGTCCCCTGCAGTCACCTTGTGCGATGAGTCTAACTATCCCCATTTTATAGGTTTTTGCAGCTGGGGTTCACAGATGTGACTTGCCTGCTAATAGATACAGAAGTGGGATTCACCCCTGACCTGCCTGGTCCCTCGGCCTTCTGCTGGCCCACATGGTGAAATTGACCTGACATGAAGAGTACATCTCTAAATTTCAAGGAGTCACTCTTGAACTGAGTGGAGAGTCCCCAAGTTCCCAGAGTCTCAAGATTGGTTTTTGGAACCAATGAAGTAGGACTAAAGATCTGGTTAAGATCTCACAGGGGCTTCTAGCAAAGTATCATGCAGTGCTGTAGATGAATGTATGCTGTGCCTAGATTGGCTACTTAGCTGTTTTCAGGAATTGCTCTACCTGATTCTATCTCTGGACTTCTCTTGGCCTTTGTTTCCTCCTCTGTAAAATGGGGCCCTTAGATCTAGCTGGAAAAAATAAAGCTCATTCTCCATTGTGAACTCCAATCAATGGAGGTGGCTCTTTGGTACTGTGCTGACCAGGCTCAGATGCCATATCCATGTTCAGAGAGAAAAGAGTGCCATGATTGACTAGCAGTATCTGAGGGGTGTAACAAGGGCCCTGGGGGATGTCTATGATGTACTTTATAGGAATTAGTGTGATCCCTCCATGTTCCCAGTAGCTGTTGTTGATTTGTTGTGAGGACATCAAAGATCCCTTGTCCCCACTGATGGCAGTTTAGTCACTCATAAGTACTTACTGTTGATTTCTTATTATATATCAAGCATAGAGGAAGTTATTCAGGAAATATAGAGATGTAAGACAAGCAGCTCAGAATCTAACAGTTGAGATAAGACTTACATTCCAAGTACTAAAAATAAAGTAGCAGGACTGGTTGTGGCTCAGTGGTAGAGCACTAGCCTAGCACATGTGAGGCACTGGGTTGGATCCCCAGCACCACGTAAAATAGATAGATAGATAGATAGATAGATAGATAGATAGATAGATAAAACAAAGGTAGTGTGCCCGTCTACAATTTAAAAAAATTTTTTTAAATGTTAAAAAAAAAACCCAACAATATTTCACAAGTGTCCCAAGAGAGGTAGATCCAGAGGACTCAGGGGACTCAGAGGAAGTAAGTCATTACTTCCAATTAGAGTAATTGTAAAAGGTGAATCTTGAAGAGCAGGGATATTTTGAAGGCAGAATTAGTGGGAGGAGGCAGGTGGAGTGTTGTGAGAAAAGAATTACTAGCAAAAATTCACAATGGAAAAATGCAACCGGGTTGGAGTGAGGGGGAGGTCAGTGACGTGCATAGCGTCCAAAACTTAAGGAGGAACTTGTGCACAACCTTGCGATCTAGTGCAGCTTTAAATCTTGAACCCTAGGCACCTCATCGGTCTCACTCCCCACCCTGGAATAAGAGGAATCCAGGAGGAATGGCAATTGGAAGTCTGCATAAGTATTATGAGTAGCTGGAAGCTAAGCAGGAAATGGAAGCAGGGGACAAACAAACAAAAAAAGGCAGGCAGATGTCCAGGACCTGTGGACTTGGGATTTCATTTGATAGGCCAAGAGAGGCTATTCACTTGGGAGGATCATTCTGGTGTGGGAGAATAGGATGGAGCAGGATTTAACAGCCATGCAAACTGCAAAAGGAAAACTCTAGAGTTAGGGAAAGGTGTTAGAAGCTGTTGAGATGGAGTAATCAGGCCAGAAACAGTGGGGCAGCGAGAGTTGAAGGAGCAGGTGAAGAAACAGTTTCAAAGAATGAACCAAAATGGGATGGGGTGGGGGGAAAAGAGCAAAGAAGAGAGAGGAGTAAATTGAATCCTCTAATATTTAGGGAGAAGAATAAGATACAGTGAAAGATAATCAAGGAGAGAAGAAAGCTTGAGGACTAAAGGAGGGCAAAGAATAGTAGATGCTGTGGAGGTTGAAGACTTTGCAATTGAGAAGTCAGGGGATTTGTCAAGGGGACCACGGGGAGAAGCTTCAGGAGAATAATGGCGGCAGGAATCCACAGCCTGGATTCATGCCCCCATTATTCTCCTGAAGCCATTATTCTCTTCAAGCTGTTAGGAACCAAGTTACAGAGAATTAAGAATACTCCTTTGAAAATGGTGGTGGTAAAGGGAGAAGAAGTCGTGATGGTTCATGTTTAGCATGCTAAAGCAAATATTTTCTCCAGATAATTCAAGAAAGAAGCTAGTGAAGAGGGAGATGGAGGATGGCTGATGAGGGGACAGAAGGAGAAGAACAGAGAGTCCAGATGGTGGAATGAACCGGGGGAAAGAGGGAGAGAAAGCAGGGGCAGGAGAGAACTCCTGCTCAGGGAAGCTGCGTGGTGGCCACCAAAGTGTGTGTGTGTGTGTGGGGGGGGTCCTTTCAATGTCTGTTTAAGGAGAATCTTTCCTCCTTCTCCCCATTCCTCCTGCACACACTGGTACCTGAAATTCTACGTTCTAGAGTTTTCATTTGAAGAATAGGGCCACTTTCTGGCTGGACTCACCCAAAAGTTGCAATGGTCTCACCGCAGCCTGAAGCTCCTGTAACTCAAGGCTGAGGAAGATGAGTGCCACAAGGAGAAGGAAGCCTCCCAACTTCATGTTGCTGTTGGAAGTCTTAGGTGCACATGTGGCAGGGCTCAGAGTAGCTGAGATTTATACCCTTCCACCCACTGAGCTGGCATGCAACTAGGGCCTATGGACCGTGGAAGCCTAAGCCCTGCCCAGAAACTGGCGTTGTGGGAGACCACACCATACCTGACCCAGGAAACACCATGTTACTTAAACAAGCTTCTGTGCCAAGGGAACACCCTCCTCTACCCAACAAATAGGACTCCTAAACTGGGAAAGCTAGGGTGGGGTGGGTGGGGTGGGAAGATGGGCACTAACCTTCATTACTAACCTTCATTCAATTTTTCATCTTCAATATTAGTATTAAATGTCTGCTGTGGGCCAGGTATGTACTACGTGTGTTGAGTATGTCCAGAGAAATTCCAATCTAGGAGCTGGGTACCAGGTAGCAAGGGTGCCATCTGCTCTTGCACGTCTCCCCTCCCTGCTCCCAACTTTCACCTCTATAATTGAGAGCATGGGGAGCTATCAGAGATGCTTCCCTATCCCTGCTGGTGACACAGTGGGCTACCTTATTCTCCCTCTGCCTTCGTCTAATGCTTTCTGCTGCTGGGCACCTGGCAGGTACAATGGTCTTTGCCTGAATATATGTCATTTTCTTGAGATAGAGTTCCACTTTGCCTTGTTTAGAAAGTAGGGTATTTCATGTTTGAGACCCCAAATTTCCTATACACATGTTACTCTCCTAGGGTGCCTCTCATCCTGCAGTCCTGGAGTGGGAGGTGGGATGGGGTGTAGAAACCAACCAGCTTAAGGAGTGAGATTTCATTTCCTCCTTCTTGCAGAAACTTCTGATCTAGATGAGTGATTTTCTAAAATACTCTTTTCCTTCCCCAGTGATTCTAGGGGGTGGGGAGGGCATGTACAACTTTGGCCATGAATTGTGTCTCACAAGATATATTAATGTAAGATAAAGAAGATGTTTGGGCTGGTTAGAGGTAGCAGGATCAGTTTGCAGCCTCTTTATAGGTTCCTGGGGGAGATGGTTGACTTTAGTTTAGAAAGTAGGGTATTTGATGTTTTACTGGGTTCCTAATTCTGGGACTACAGGAAAAGACCTTTCCTATTACAGTTCATTTGTCACAGTTCCTGAAATGCTGCCAGCTGGTGGTCCTTTGGGTAAACAATTGACCTCATAAATCACGTATTTGAGAGAGTTAAGAGGTACAGTTATAGACCATGCATAAAGCAGTTTGCAAACTGTCTTTACTCAATTTTGCCTAGCTCAAAACTGAGGTTAATTAATATTTAATTTTTCTAACAGGACTAAAGCCTGATAAATACATTTAGAGACCCTAAACACTGATAAATTTATGATGATATCTCCATATGTAATCCAGATTTTTTTTAATATTTATTTTTTGGTTAGACACAATACCTTTATTTTGTTTATTTATTTATTTTTATGTGGTGTTGAGGATCGAACCCAGGGCCTCGCGCATGCCGGGCGAGCGCTGTACCGCTGAGCCACAACCCCAGCCCTGTAATCCAGATTTTTTAAAATACTAAAACTTGAAATAGAAATATTCTTTTGAAATGACACAGTATGTTGAAATTAAGCTAATTTTTTGGGGGGGATGTCTCCATCTGATTTCAACTGGATGTCCTAAGCATGTGCTTATTTGGCCCTGTAGGTTGCTCAGAGCCAAGTGGGACCTTCAGAGCCTTGGCAATGGCTCCCAGCCTGCCTGCTTGCCTCCTCTCTTGCTTCGCACACACTCCCCACTGTTCCTGGACTGGTTGCTGCACCTTGCCTAGTACATCACGCTTTACTAACACAGCCAGGCTGTTCTTTGAACTTGAATTTCCTTTTTTCCTTTCTTCTCTGTATGTCCAAATCATTTTTATTCTATCAATTTTTAGCCCCAAATGTAATGTCTGAAACTTTTCTCAACTCCAACACCTGGGAGAATAACTTTCTCTTGGCATTTGACATAGTTCTTATCATGAATATTAGACTTAATTACTATTATTATTATTATTATTATTATTATTTTACATTTCTCTTCCTTGAAAATCTTGATGGCTGAATGGGGTCTTATTTATCTTTTGTCTTTAGTACTCAGTGATGGGTATATATTATTCTCAGTAATTATTAAATGAACACATGTTAGAAAAAGAGAAAGAAATGAAGGGGGATTTTGGTTAAATACTGGGGTCAACAGAACAATGGTAGAGTGGGTGGGATTTGGGGAGCAAGAGAGACGATGGGTCTGCATAGATACCATAAGTTGTCAGAGTGGAAGTTTCAGAAAGACACAACTGGCAGGAAGGACAGCTTTGGAGCTGAACATGCTTCCATCTGAATCCTGCCCTGAGGTCACTCGCAGGATATGTGATTGTAGGCAAGTATTAATATCAGTGAATGAAAAACTGCATTCATTTTTTCAAAAATACTCTTTATGTCCTACTGTGTGCCACAACCTGTGCTAAATGCTGGGAATGTGGTGGGAGCAGGACAAGCTTGGCACTTGCTTTCATGGAGCTTCTACTCTGAGGAAGGAGATAGAGTAAACACACATTCTCCAGAAACCATGTTGGTATAAAAGACAGAGACTATTGTTCACATAAATTTGAAGTGCAAACCAAATGTCACCCAAGACTACCAAGAGAAATCCCATTTGCATTCGCACAAATGACTGAGCTTTCCACCTACCCTAGAAAGAATCAGCAACCCCCAAACCATTCCCCAGTTGTTGATGCATGACTGTCCTACCTGGATTTAACTATACTGCAGCTAGTTTATGCTTCCAGTTAAGTAAACATTTAACTGTGGTTAAATAGACATTTCTTGGTCTATAGCACCTCAAGATTTTTTTTTCTCTTGTATCAACTAAGAAGCCTAACAAGACCCATGTCTGAATAAAAGCCCATCCCAGATGTGAGCCAAAGGTGTAACAATCCATTAATGCTCACTTTATTCTAGGTTAAACTCTTCACAGATGTTCTTGTGTTTTTTTACTCCCAACAAGATAGTGAGGTGGTTTGTCAGGTAAGACTCCAAATGCCAAAAAGGAGAACTTAGTATGAAGATGCAAGGGGGATATTTCTGCTTTACTTTCACATCTATTTAATCTTTCACTCTCTGCTGAGCTTCTTTCTGTTTCTCAAGCCATGCAGTGGGAGGAAAGTGATCACCAGAATGAGGAAGGAGAGAATTTGGTTGGCCCAGTTTGAGCTAGGCATCTCCCCTACTGTTCATACAAAGCTGCTGAGAGCTCTATGTATATTTTGTGGGTGGGGAGCATTCAGGGAGCCACTGTAATTAGAACAATATTCTAAATGTTTTTCAGTACAGACAGGCATCCCTACCATTATTGACATTTTACAGTTGAGGAAACTAAGTCACAGAGAGATTTGGTAACATGCTCAAAATAATAGTTAAGTGGCAGAACCAATAGTACACATTATTTATTGTCAGACTAGGTCCAAATTCTTAGAAAATAATTTTGACTCTTCTCTGGAGTCAAATATTGAGGTCATGGAATTTTGCTCCATCTAGCATTAGTGCCCAATAATGATCAAGATTTCATTAGAAGAGGAAAACCACTTTGAGTTAAGCTAATTGCTATAGAGGATTTTGAGTACTCAATCAGATCAAAGGTAGATGATGTCATCCGCCAAAAACTGTAACTATGGTTTTATGAGAGCAGAACATGGTCCTATTTTCTGGCTGTGCATAAAGGACATAGGGTATGAAAATAGGACTGATGCAAAATAGCAGAGTGGTTAGGATTCAGGGCTCTGGAGAGGGAAGATCTGGTGTGCACTGGGTTCTACCACTTGCTAGTTGTGTGACCTCAGGAAAACTAATTTCCTTTTCGGATTCTCACTTCACTCATCTGTAAGCTTGGATCATAGTCCCTACCTTGTTGCTGGGCAGGCTGAATGGAAATTAAAATACACTTCATGTTTTTGGCACAGAGTTCTAAAAACTGGCAGATACTATTGTGAATTATTTTTATAAAAGGGAATGTGTGTCTTTCTATTCCCTGGTGTAGGGCACATAGCTTGTGCAAAAGTGTACCAGATCATTAAGGAAATACTACAAAATAAATAAAGAGGAATCAGAACCTGTACGTTATTTTGTTCTCCTGAATACTCAAACTGAGCCATGAAGGGACCCCAGGGCTTAAGCTAGTATTACTGTCAGCTCAACAATTGTATGTGGGTTAATGGATGTCCATATGGAGATCAAGAAGCTCAGCGCGTAATCATCAATTTCTGACAAAATAGTCATTAGCCAAGGTAGAGTCAATAAAGTCACAATCAGTCTTCTATAAACTTTCCACAAGGTGACAAAGAGCATGGTAATTGTCTAGGGAGACTCTCCCTACCCAAAGGGCTCCTGCTTCCAGTGAGAACTTTCACGGGGTGAGGGCGTTGTTGCCAGCAATGACTGGCAAGTACTTGGCTGTTCCACTTTCCACTCCCCTGCCCCCTACGCTCTGAAACTAGAGCATGAGACCAAGGCTCAAGTTGCTGGCACAGACTGCAGGATAAGATCTGGACACCATGAGAATGACAGGCATGTCTTCCCGCCTACACCTCTTTATCTTTTACCAGACCTAGATAGTGTAGCAGTTAAGAACCCGAGCTCAGAAGCCAATTTACCTGGACTCAGATCCTGATTCTAACTTAGCAGACACCTGAGTGATTGAAGACAAGTTATTTTACACCAATATCATGTTACTAGGTGAAGTCCCCGTTGATGATAATGTGGTTGGGCAGAGACAAGGTAAGATTAATACTCTTCCTCCCCCTGAGCTGGACCAGTATGTGCAACCTGGGTCAAGACACAAGCACTTGGAAATCAATCACAGATAGATTGCTGACCTTTCTGGATTGCATAGAAATTTGTTTAGCATTGAGTAATGATGATATTTTCATACAAGCTCTCTGAGTTGAGGAAAATGACTTCTTCTGCCTTATCATCAATACTACTAAAGAATGGAGATCATTTTGGAGGAAAGAAATGGGGTGGGGAGAAAGGAAACTGGCCTAATTTGGATACTTCTATGCACCACATTTTTTTCCCCTTGCAGTCACTATGGCATGTGACAATTCTAGCAGATGTGATACACCCACATCTAGTGTGAGGCCTTTGACTTCCCTCCTCTCCAAGATCTTCCTTCTGTTGCTTGATGAAGCCCATATGCAAATTCT